AACATATTTTAGTTTTCTTTCTTCTTTTGTAATGAAATTAATTACACCAACATCTAGGGAATACGGAATTTACATAACCTACTTATTATCTGCTTTATGTTATTTACCTTGGGGGCTCTTTTAACAGCAGGGTACTATATAAAAACACCACTTCAAAGCATGAAAGACTTTTGACACTTTAATCATCTTTAAATGTTTTCTGCTCATGTATTTCCCAGTTAAGAAATGAAAAGATGCTGCAAAATTTTAATTCAGAATGCCAATAATGTGGTGAAGTCTTTCTAGAATAGTTAACACTGATATGGATTTTGGACCAGTTATTAATAATAGGATTATAAAGTTTATGCCATTATGATTATTTTTTATATTTGCTTATACAAAAGTAATGGTCGTTTATCTATGTACCTATGTCCACTATGTATTTTAAAAAAACCACGGAATTTCAAATAAATATTGCATACTTATAATCTGCATTTTTATTATCTACCCTGAGGCCCTCTTATCAGCAGGAGACCGGTATAATGAAAACAGTCCCTCTCAGAAAAAAATCCAATACACAGCATGACTCTTCTAAAAAGTATTTTGTTTATGCATTATATTTTTAATATTGAAAACGTGAATAAAGTTATCTCATTTATTTATTTCATGAAAAAATAATTATTTATATTTTTAAAAGATATGCAAGCATTTTACGGTTCTATACTTAATTATCACTGTACATAGATTGTTTTAGAATCAATATATTAAAATATCCTTTTTTCAATATTGAACAGGAGGAATCGCCCTTAAGTCGTATAGAATAATGCTGAATAGCAAGAAATGTGGATAAATATTGATATGAAGTCTTTTTAAAAAAGGAACACTGATATGGATTTAAAACACTTTTTAACAATTTCCTCTTTAGAGACAATAATATCTAATATGCATTTATGCCATTATTATCATTTTTGATATTTGACTATACAAAAATAATGGTCTTTTATGTATGTCCAAAATGTGTTTTGAAAAACAAGGGTATTTCAAATGAATATTGTATATTACATTCTTATAATCTGCAATCTTTTTTTTTTACCCCGAGGCCTTCTTATCAGCAGGAGACCGGTATAACCCAATACACAACATGACTTGAGACTTTCTTCTTATACAAAAGTATTTCCTTTATACTAAAAAGGTAAATGTTGTTACAAACTAAATTTATTGTGCTAGACTTATCTAATATTGATTTTCAAATTTGTACACTGGAAATAATTAAAATACATGGTTATGTGTATAAAAATAGCTTTAAAAACACTGCATTTAATTATCCATTACAGGGATAGCATTTAAAAATGTAACCTTATTAATTCTATAAATTTGATTTTATTGGGGTATACTCAGTATATTTTTTATTCTTTTAAATACTTGCAAATAAAATATGATTGCAATAAATGAATAAAAAGAAAATAATTTTAAGTTTTAACATAATGTCACCTCAAATGTAAAAACTGCTGATTTAAAATTACTTAATTATTTACACGATTACGCCATATATCCCTAAAGGTTTTTTCTTATATCAGCTAAATAATGGATTCCCCCCTTTCTGGTCATATGGTCTAGTGCACTAAAAGTGCGCACGGTGTGCACTTCTAGTTCAGCTCCAGGGCACTGGAAGTGCACAAAGGTTGGAGTTTAGTGTGAACTCAACTGTATGTGCTTTTCATATAAAGAAACCTAGCTGTCTTGTCATACTTTTCATATGCAAGCGCGATGACATTTGACAGTTTTGTTTTGACAATGAAATACCGGAGCTGTCTTTGCAGTTCGTTATTTTTGCATGTCACACTGAGTCACAAATATTGAAAAAGAATGTGCAAACGTCGGCGCGTTCTCGCGTGATTTTATCTGTTATTGCATGTTTTCTTACTTATTTATGTACTCTTACGTGAGTAGCTTTATGTAAGAAAAAAATAGTATACATTTTATTAGACTCAACCACACATCTAATCAATATCTAAAGCGGTAGTAAATTACAAATTTTACATTCGCAGTATCGTTATCCTCCTTTTCATTCGTTTTAAGCTATACCTGTAAAAGTAAAGTAAAGTGTGGAGATAGTGTCATAGCCTTCTTGTTAATGTTTCTGCAACAAATAGGACACAAATATGCCAAAAATGAAATTATTTTTAGATAAAACCTTGGCCTAATGAGCTCGTTTTTTTTATTTCATATAAATGTGAACAAAATAGTTATACAAAGCAGGCAGTGCATATAGTTTAACTAGCATTAAAGGCACATTCTTTCACAGAAATCCATACTTTTTTATTTAAACATGTATTTGATAATGTTTAAATAATTGATTAAGAACATGTTAGATGTTGAACAACTGATGAAAGTAGCACAGAACATGAATATGTTGTGTTAACAAAGCAGTATTTTGACCTCCATATAAAATAATAATTTATTATGATTATATCAATTGCCAAAAGAAGGAAAGATAGTTCATTTTAGGTTAAATGATTTTAATTTGTTTGGGTCGTCAGGTTTTTTGACATGATGGGATTGAATATAATTTTTCCAGATAATTGTACCATTTGATGTAGGTTTAGACCACTAATCTTTGAGCACAATTTCAGATCATTCGCGTCCTTTGTTTTTTCAAAATTATTGAAAATGTAAAAAAAAATAAAAAATGTTTAAACGCTTTTCACTCAAATTGGGCCAAGAAAAATACGATTTCAAATTTATTTTAAAATATAATTCTTAACTATCTTTGCATATATTTCTGTTTCAAGTGCCCCAGCTCATTTATGTAAGAAATTCAAATGTTATGTTTTTAGGCTTTTAAACCTTAGTGGAGTCCCTTTAAAGCTAAGTATTTGAAAATATACATATCTGCAAAGCTTACTCAAAAATGAATCAATTTAAGTGAAAATTGATTAACCAACACTCAACCAATTCATCGATAGATTCTATTTTTTAACCTTACAGGCTTGAAGTATGTACTGCGGGAAATCCGTTGGTAACAGGGTTTAGCCTTATTACGTTGGGTTTTACCTATCGATCATGTACGTCTTACCATTTCCCGCAAAAAGATGAGAACACCGAAACCTTAGTTCTATGAATTGTATTGAATTTATGCCCGATAAATTCATACAGTTAGTTTTTTTCCCGATTCTCGACTGTATAATATACATGCGTTTTACTATATTGTTTTTCTTTAAAGCTTCTTATTTTTTAATTTTTCTTTTATTTGGCTTTATCGAAAATATGAATTTTATTAACAATGGATTATCAAATTATGATGCGTTGCCCTAGAATTGACTATTTTTTTTAAATACACAATGCGGGGTCATTCATTTGATTAAAGACTGATCCTTGCGTCTTTCTCTGAAATGATTATTTTCATGTTCTGTTCTGGTAAGAAAACACATTTGACCACATCTGACTTTCTATCATTAAACTGTTTGCTACTTCCGAATTTTGTTTTTGTACCGAAACACATGTTTTAATTTGTGTTTTTCAATCAATTCGAAACTATAATCAGTTTAATGAGATCACCACCACTACTACGGTACTATGGTCATGTTTTTTTACCCCAAATATCTAAATGTTTCTATTGGGATTAAAATGAGCGTAGTTAACTAAACAACTGATTGTATGTCAGTTGCATATGGCTAAAAGCATTGTACTACTTAATTGCTAGATAAATGTTTTTTTTTGTTTGTTCTTTTTTTGTTGTAAAGATCCCTGACCTGTCAAATTCTAATTATTAGATTAGTGGATACATAAAGACTTGCAACACAACATATTCCTAAACAAAAGAACACATGTTTAAATTTAATGTTATTTAAATAAAAGGTCATCTAGGATCTATCAATTGCCAGTTTTTTTAAAAGATACTATATATATACTTTTATGTTGACATTGATTGATAGATTATGTGAGATAAAATGACTACAAGTATTGTATTTTTTTTGTATTCTTGTGCTGAAACTTTGTAGTTAAAAAGTGTTTTTTTTTTTTTCGGCGACAGTGGTTCAGGAATATCATGTTTACAAACTATCTGTTTTCACCATCAGTGAATTCTTAGTTAAATGTATGAAAATATTTATTTACAGCTATATGATATAGCGGTTTTGTGTGCCTTTTCCGCGTACAGCTTGCTAGGGTGTACTAATAAGTTAGTTTTCATTAGTTATCTATAGGCATGATCTATGTCTCTGATGTAAGGGACAGTTTATCACTATTTGTCTTTTCAAAAAGGAATATTTAAGGACTATTAATGGTTTATAACAACAAAAGATCAATTATGATATTGAGATCTTACAATATTCAAAATGACGATGTTCGAATTAATGACCCGTCATGCAAAGTTGGTCGCTGCGTAGTAATTGGGAAATTTTCAAAAATAAAAATGTAACAGTATTTTGCCAAATAATTTAAACATTTTATTCAGTACTATACAATAATGTGTTTTGTTTTTAATTTCCCCGATACAGTAGTTAAAGTATAAGGGTTAAAATATCAGAACTATTTATGACTGATGCATGACCGATTTACCGCCGCAGTAAACGTAAGTAGTGATTTTAAAATTTAGAAGTTTAGTTTAAACATATTTTATTGTATATATATACATACATAAATTTTCACAATTATACATAAATACATTAATGTAAATATACAAAAGGGTTGGGCCAAAAGTTATAACAACATTATCGGGGTCCCTCCCCTGAAATACTGACTGCAATGTTATTTTAAAAATAGATGTGAAAAAGACATATGTAAAGTATGATTAATTAAGTTGAAATCTAAGAAAAAATACTTAGAAAAAAAATGTAAATAAATATATTTTCTGACATAAAATTTAGAAAACGTCAAAACCAAGCGTTTCTCTGAGAATTATAAACTTTACAAATAGCAAATATGATGGTTAAGAATAAAAAGTTTTAAGTTGTAAAGAATGGTAATAAGCGATGAGTCAGCTATAAAATATCAAGATACTACTTTTTGAAAGAAAAAAATCAAGGACTCCGACGATAACAAAAGGATAAAAAGCGGAACGGATAAGAAAGCTGCTTATTGTAGACTGAGGGCTTGGCTTTCAAATAGAGGACCATGGCTAAATGTTTTAGTTTGCTTTATCATAAACTTTTGCATTCAAACAATTGAATCATTCGTTGACATGGCAATACATGACCAAAGCTTGTTGAATGTATTAGCAATGAACGCAAAAGAAGCACAGTATGTCAATAACTATTTCAAGAGCATGATAGATTTTTTCGGTAAATTATTTCATACTTAATTAATATAAACTTATTTATATAGCTAAAAACTTTCCACTCAACTCTATAATGTTAATGTATTGTATTATTGTAGTGTAAACATTAGAATAAATCAAACCAAATAGCAGAGTATAAACCAGTTGCATGTATTTTGTTATGATTTTCATTTTCTAAGAACTGTTACTGTAATCCTACTTGTGGATTTCAGTTAAGTTTTGGGTTGTAAATATGTAGTTTTTACCTCTTTTGATGTTTGCAAATTTTACAACAAAGATTTAATCTTCATGCTTCGTCTGAAATGACATTAAGTAATGTAATTTCATTAGTAGTGCCTCAGTGGTTTAAAACATTTATTCTATCACCAAACGCTTATATTTTTGTGGTAAGTAATGCAATATTTAAGATTTCACTGACAAAGACTTACATCATTTAATATGTTTATCTTTTTATGTTTCGACGTTTCTTCGTCAGTATCATTTATTTGTTTTGGATATGATTTTTTTCCGAATGTAATTCAATTTTCAGCTCCAGTTGGAGTGTTTTTGATGACAAGATTTGGTCACAGGGTGAATGGTATTGCCGGTTCGCTTATTGTGTGTGTTTCATTTACAGGCATCACTTTCTTAGATAGTACACTACGTAAGTTATTTTTATAGACACAGTAACTTGTACTTGTAAATCCATATTCATAGCTGAAGATATTAAGAACATTTGCAAGAAATTTTGTTGTTTTTTTCATGAATTATACTATATTAATGTTTTCATAAATAATAATAATAATAAATTTTAACGTTTCACCACGAGCCTTATCTCACAAATATAATAAGTTAAAGTAGTGGTATCTCCATAATACATATAATACTTAAAAGAAAACAATATTGCATAACAATTTAGCATGTGTTAATTTAACAATTATACATCAATTTAACTCTGAATTTATTTTTAAAGAGTCGGATTTTGTCTGGTACTGGAAGATTTGTATCTGTGGACCAATAGGTAATTTTTTCAATCTAATATAATGGTAATTTATTACATAAAAATTGAGTATATTGTTATTCTTCTGATGTTAAATCACATGACAAGTAACGCTTCATTTATATCATCTAATTGACTCTATGTTTGATCAAATTAATGTGACAAGTATTGAGTGTTAACACATCTTAAACCTTCTTCACTGAGTATGATAACTAATATATGAAAAGATTAAAAACTTCTCTTATGTTTTGTTAGATTAACGAGTCGCAATGTATACATACGCAAGTGTTCAAAGTCCCGGATTCTCTCTTTTCCAAGCTGTAGGTCATATGTTCCAAAACTTTGTTTGAAGTCATTGCTTGGGTATGAACAAAGTGAAAATAAGATAATATTAAGATAAGCAATGAATATATAAAATTTGACGCAAAATGATACAAATATATAAAATCTTACTGTGAAACAAACAATACCATGTATATAACAGGTTTTTCAAATCGTATTTTGCCTGTTATTTTTAAATACAATTTTGTTTTTCCATAAGGGTTAGGAATAAGTCTTCTGAAAATCGGTGCATTGGTTCCTGTACTTGAGCTTTTTACCAAGCAAAGAATGGAAGCCCTCTTGTTGACGAAAGTTGGTTTTGTATTAGGCTCTTTTATTGACATTAGTGTAAAGTTTGCAGGAAATCTGGACTGGAAAATATTATACAGGTGAACATAACATTATCATTAAAACTTTTTTAAACGTTAAATACGTTATTTTTATATAAATCGTTTCATATAATTGTCAAATTAAAAGAATTAAGGTGGAAAATGAAATTTGCCGACGATAGAATACATAAACAACAAGAGCACAGCTAGGCGGAGCCTTATATGCCCGAAAGTGATTTTTTAGTAAAGATAAAGCATTTGTAAGACATAGAAATTAAATAAAGTATTCCCTCCTTCAAATAACAATCCTCCTATGAAGTTTAAATATTGTTGGCCAAATAGAACTTAAGTTATTCTCCAGACACTGTTTTCAGTTTTAAAGTAATAGTGACCTTGACATTTGACCTTGCGACCCCAAAATCAATGGGGGTCTTCTACCCAATATGGACAATTATACTATGATGTTAGAACACTGTGGACCAAATGAAACTTAAGTTATGTTCTGAAAACTGTTTTCAGTTTTAAGGTAATATTGACCTTGACCTTGTGACCCCAAAATCAATAAGAGTCTTCTACCGATATGGTCAATCATCCTATGAAATTTTAATATTGTGGGCCAAATGAAACTTAAGTTATGCTCCAGAAACTGTTTTCAATTTCTAAGTAACAGTGACCTTGACCTTTGACCTTGTGACCCTTAAATCAATAGGGGTCATTTACCCAATATGGACAATCATCCTATGAAGTTTGAACACTGTGGGCCAAATGGAACATAAGTTATGCTCCAGAAACTGTTTTCAGTTTTAAAGTAATAGTTACCTTGACCTTTGATCTTGTTACCCCAAAATCAATAGGTTTTTTTCTCTAATATGGACAATTATCCTATGAAGTTTGAACACTGTGGGCCAAATGGAACTTAAGTTATGCTCCGGAAACTGTTTTCAGTTTTAAGGTAACAGTGACCTTTACCTTTGACTTTGTGACCCCAAAATCAATAGGAGTCTTAGTTTGAATATTGTGGGCCAAATGGAACTTAATTCATGCTCCGGAAACCAAATTGCGAACTGACGGACGGACCCCAGTGGGTATAACATAAAACCTTCGATATCACAAATTGTTTTACAACAGAAACGCTTTAAGACATATTTTTATTAATTCAATAATGAAGGATATTATTGATTATTGAATATAACTATTTGTTGTTCTTGATTCTCATACTTCTATACTAAACATAATATACTTTTAGTATATTTACAATATAAATATGAAATCTAGTCGGAAATATTTGGTTATTTCCATTGTTTGAATTAAACAGTATTCTTTTTCATCCCCCCCCCCCCAAAAAAAAAAAAACCCCGGCGATTTCCGAAAACAAATTAATTGAGATTAAGAAAAGTTCCGAAATATTTTAATACGCTGATATTTCTTATAACCTGGTTCTTGTTCATAAAAGCCGATCTTTATATATTTAATTACCAATTTTAATGGATCATCTACAGGGTTTATAGGATTACGAAGTAAAAGCAAGATGTCAATGATGACTAAGACTGATTCGTAATAAGCTTTTAAATTAGCTATACAACTATAGTTTTTAGAACATGAATATGAATTTAAATAGAACTTTAAATATTTTTCATATTTTTATTTTAACAATAAAAAATGTAAATTCATTTTTGCCAAAAATCATGCATATTTTGTCTTCACAAACTTGCAAAATTCTGTATTTTTATTTTCTTTTTAGAATCAATGCCGGTTTATGTACATTACCTGTAGTTTTTATTTGCATAATGCAGGTTGGTATTCTTTTTTATTATGTCAACAATAATAATCAGTTTAAACTCTGCATTTTTTTTCTGGCTTAATAACGTAAAAAATGTGGGAAAAGATTACCTTTTCAAATAACTAAATGGATATCAGAGTCCTTGTGTCTAAAGCGTTAGGATTGTTTAGTCATATTTGTACAGTTCAATGATTTTTTTTTAAAAAAGGTTAATGTTCTTAGGTTAGCTTATGTAGATATCATCAAAACTTAGGTGAGAAAAAAAACTAATCATGAAAACGATTTATTTTCAGGATATATCTATTCAAGAAAGCATGGAAAAGGAAAATACCGAAGCTAAAGACAATTCTAAAACTGAAGACTGTAATGTACCATGCCTAAATATAGTTTTAGTTAAATTTCCAGTGTTAAAAAAGAAAAAGCTGTGGACAGTATTTGGAGTGTTTTCCACTTTTAGATTTGGTAAAATTTTTAGTTATTAATAATAATAAAACGCATTCAAATGATATAAATGGCAATGCTCAATAATACCGTATAGAATGTTAATAGATAACGGTACATTATATTCAAATATTTAAACAGAAACCCGTTTATGACATTGATTGTTTTGGCTGTATTTCTTTCATTTTATATTTTATATATTTCTTTAAAATTCTTAAAACTTGTCTATATTTTTCATTTTCATTATCTTTGAAGACGTTTTTTTCAATTATTCATTGTAAACAATTGATAAATGTTTTTTGTTTTTTTTAAGGAAATGCACTTCCAAGATTTTCTAAGTGGAAAATCCCGAAAAAAATTAAGGGACAAATACAATCTACCACAGATTCTTTCGTTGAAGATCTCACAGTAATAATAGGAATTTTAGCAGGAATAAAATTATCTTTTTGGTTTAAGAAATGCAGTTGTCTCGAAAGGTATAAAACAATGTTAAATATGTGCATTTTGTGCCATTATAATATGAATTTACTATGTTTGAAAATCCAATATATTTCTTGTACTGAAAACATGTATTATCTGAACAACACAGCCACATCTTCCTGTCGTGCTTTACCTTATTTTGTATTAACAAACATTTATCTTTTCAAAAACTGAATTCTTCATAATTATTACAATTATCCAATCAATACTAAGCAGCTTCAATCAAATGATATGTATTATTTAAACAAATATGTTTTTATTTAACATTTTGAAAGTCACACCCATGTTCTGATAGATAACAGTAGAAAATGTTATAACAGATAACTGTTTTTTCTTTGAATTAGTTATAGGAAAAGAGGTTTGGTTTTTGCCTTCACAATTGTTTCCTTTGCAAGTCCAATCCTCGGATTTTCATCTGCAGTAACCTTCGACAAAGTTGGCTATTTCATCTTTTTCAACTTGGTTCTTATTGCTTTAAAAGGTGAGTTTTTGTCTTTCACGTCGAAATATAATATACTTGTGTTTTTCACATGCTTCCAGTCGTGCTCCGCCGTTAACCTTTGCAAAGAGTTTGTTATAAAGATATAAAATAATTTTGAACATTATACATGTATCAACAGACTGTGCATCAAATTGAAAATAATAAAGCTGACAAATGTGTTCATTGTTCTCACAACTTCTTGACCTGTCACGGCTTAGACAATAAGTCGGAATGATATGAATGAAGGTGCCATGTCTGATTAATTGTTGATAATTATACATTATACAAAAATATTGATAAAGATTTATGGAATGAAATGCCATATCCATCAAGCCATATACAAAGTTCTCAAATATCTCTAAATTGCCATAGACTCCGACTATATTCAATAGCTATTTGTCTGCAAGGAAAACTGTGTTGGATATTTTCAATTCATTACTTCCATCAGGCCTCTTTAAAATCATTGAAGATGATGAAGAAGTTTTATATGTATATTTGTTTCATGTTAAAAAATGCTCAAGCTCTTTTTCAATATCTAAGAGCTCGACTGAGGTTCAAAAGCATAGAATATACAATTTGATTGCTTACATAGATACACTTGAGAACGGAAGGGTTTGCAGAAGATAATATAGAAATATATTTGCTTTTGTGTGATTTTCATATACAAGCATACATAATATATACAATTACATGTATGCATTAGTAAATTACTAATTACATAGCAAGATGGCTGCAAATATTGTTTTTCTGATTAATGGTTATCATTCATTAACTATTAAATTTACAAGTTGTTTCGAGATTCTATATTCCAATATGTAATACCAGAGATAACAAGATTTAAGATTTTAAAGTTTTATTGGCAAAAACATCTCACAATGTCCATCACCATGTTCGGCTGTTCAATAACCACACGAGATAACAAGTAATTAATGCATATATAATATCTGCAATCTCGGGAGAGACAGTGTCAGCATCTATTAGAGTATCCATAGAGTTCGAGATAAATGTATACTATAAAACATGAATTTAAGTGTCTTCCATAGACTGATCTATGTAGTACTCTTACTAATCTAATCTTTTTTATATTTAAGAAAATAGTCTTCTTATAGATTCTTATTTTATTTTATTGTCATTGTATGTTTTGCAAGTTTTGTCTGAAAACATAAGCCCTGAGTCAATGCCTGATGTGCTTGGACGTTCAAATATAAGGATCACAGAGGGACTTGTGCAAATGTTCAATGGATTAGGAGAAATATTAGCCGCAACTGTACAGCGTAAATATGATTTTCATATCAAGTTTTTGAAAACATTTTTTTTTCTAATTGGCAGCAAACAGAAATGATTATTATATAACACATGAATACCTAAATAGTCTTGACGAACCAAAATCTGAAGAGGACACAAATGCCTTACTAAGATTGTTGTGTTATGAAATTGTGATTTCAGATTTTGCACGTAAACTTTGCTCTTCAATTAAATCTTATTTCACTGGCGGAATAATAATAAAATACACAAATGTACTGTTTGTTCTTAAGTAATTCAATTTATTGCAGATTGGTTACCTACTGCAGACGAAGAACAAGACTGGAAATCCGGCTTTAAGATAGGTGGAGGTAGTCTCCTTGTAACTGGCCTAGCGTCACAAGCATACGTTATTTATGAAATTATTAAAGATCCACCTCCAGAGGAGAAAATCGCTGATGAACAAACGTCGAAGGCTACTTTAAAAAACAAATCCTCCCCAGCATCAAAAGCATATAACGGCAAAGTAAAATTAAATATTGAAATAAATCCGCTGAAGTCGCCCGCAACGGATGGGATTAATCCAAATGGGATCGTATCAAATCCTCCTAAGGGGGACATGCAAAAGACTCCTACTGGGAACATGCAAACACCTCCTATTTGGAGCATACCAAATACTCCTGAAAGCAATCCATCGCGATCCACTCCTTCAACTTCGTTGGGCCCACCTGACAAAGATTTTCCCATAGATTGTCCAAGATATGCTCCGTCTCTTCTGCCGCCATATAAGCCAATATTTCCGAAAAAGAACAGTGAACGGTCTCGGTTTCAATAACGCGCATTACATAGGGGATAACAAAACGCAAAAATTGTACAAATTTATATATATATATATATATATATATCATTTAATTTAGCAATTACAAAGTCTGTTATTGTTGTAAACTTATACCATCTATGATAAGAATTCAAATTATCAAATGGCAATAATGTAAGTCTCAATCGTGCTTTTTTTAATTACAACCTTAACCAGGTACAACTTTTGAACTTGTTTTTGTTTTTATCGGCATGTCTACGACACAATAACTATCTTTATCACAGTAAATATAAAGCACATAGATAATCCAATATTTAGACTTACTGAAAATTGCCAAGTGATTTGAGAATAATTTGTCTATCAAGTTATTGTGCGTAGTACATTAATTTCAATTTACTGATTTATCGGTTAAATTAACAAACATAAAGTCACGACTTTTCTTTGAGCCTCTGAAATTGAAATTGTCCATAATACATGGTTTGCTTTAAATTTACACTTTGCTCAACATAAACAGAACTTTTCCAAAATATATACACTTTTCTGACTTATCTTACATTAGAAGCGCAAGGAAACAAATGGCAATAAATATTAAAAAGCTTTGACGACACAGTAAGCCACAGAAACGAATAAAAGGAAGGGGAAGTATGTGTTCTTTAATTTTGTAATAATTGATTTAGAACATGCGAGATGCTTATCATATGAAGACAAAGCGGTGGATGAAAGATAATTTGTGATTAAGGTAGCAAAATAAATACATACTGATATTTTGACTTTTATACAAAATATTAAATCACTGTAGCTGTATTTAATCTAAGACTTTATATAATTAAAGCCCGTGATTTAATTGCTAAGACGAAAAAAAAGCAAAATATGGTTCATGTCAATATTCAGTCAGTGAGTAACTTTTTAGAAATTGGAACAGGTCACCAAAAATGAAAATAAGTTTATGAAAGACAATAGCGTTTTTGTGCGTTAATTGCCTTCAAATAGGATAAACACTTGCAATGCTTATTTCAACGCTGCACTTTGAATTCGTTTTGCTCAGATTTGCAATTTTATAGATTGATAGAAATCATGTTCACAAGATTGTCTAGGAATGTTTTATGTGTATTTTAGGCTAGTGTGTTACTTAGTAAGTTTGGGAAATATCAATTTTAAGTTTTATAGCTGGACTGTTTTCATTTTATAGGCGAAACACACAGTTTTATAACCATAACTTTCTTAAGTTCTTAAGTATAACTGATTCCCCCTTTGTCATTTTTACATTTTTTATCTATTTATTTATTTTCTTGAGGGATATGGGTAGTGGGGACAACTCTGAAGAAGACCTAAAGTATTAGATATATTAATTTAAACTTCAGACATTGGTACTTCTCATTCAGGAAAAAAATAATGTTATCATAAAATGCTTGCCCTATGTATTTCATTCATACTAGTACATGTAACAGCATTTTGCAATTACTTGTAATCTTCTTCATTTAAAAGAATTTAGTATAATTTTTAAATTGATCAAATATGATATATATATCACAAAATAAATCATAGTAAACATATTTTGCTTCTTTAAGTTTGGTAATCTGAGTGTTAACATGTTTGAATTCAGCATTATTATTACATTTGAATTCAGAAAAGTTGGTTTGTTCCTCGGAAGTTGAATTATTTCTCAGTAACAATTGATCTCGGGCCATCGAGCCTAACAATCATTTATTCAGAAATCATATGTGGGTTAAGTAGTCGGTCACTTTCAGAGAAATTGGTAAAAACTGGTTTGCCATCCCGGAAAGCTGGTAAGATTGATCGACCGCTTACATATGACAATGACATGTGTAAAAATCGGTGTGAAATTATTTTATATTAATAGTGCGAGGCACATAATACTCAAAAGTTTCAGTCAAATGATTTGTGTCATTCAAATCTCGATTCATCGAATTTCCCTGTGATTCTTTTGTTTTTGGCTTATTTTTTATTTTTATTTTTTGGGGGGAGGGGGGGTTACGTCACATCGACACAGTATAGGTCATATCGCGACGTTCCAGCTTTACTGGTGGAAGAAGACCTCAGGTGCCCTTCCGTGCATTATTTCAGGCACGAACCGGCACCTGAGTAGAACCACCGACGTTCCGTAAGCTAGTTGGATAGCTTCCTCACATGAAAGAATCCAAAGTCCCTGTCCGGATTCGAACCCACAGCGGTGAGGGGCAAGTGGTTTGAAGTCAACGACCTTAACCACTCGGCTACGGACGCCCCTTCTTTTTAGCTTAACCTTATGTCTGAATGACATTTATTACACGTGCAAATGTTAGATTTAAGGTACATTTAAGGTACAAGTCTATTTTTACTTATTTTATCTTACCTTTACTTAAACATTTTAGGTTAATGCTGTTTGATTTATCTTACTTTGTATGTTTTCCTTTCTGTGCTAACGTGATAACATAAGGGCTTTTTTCTTGCTGTTAACAAAAAGTTTATTTCGCTTAAGCTTCAAGTCTTTTCATAATATTTTATTATCACTTACATCGACATGAATACTTATTTACGATTTATAAAAATTGCTTCTTGAATATTTTAAATTCAAGTTTGGATTTTATAATGTTTCATTATTTAAAACAGCATAGCTTACATTGTTGCCTTATCAATATTTTTTCCATGCTTTAGTTCTTTATTAATCCACACGTTGACCTATCTACATAGTTGTGTAGCTTTCACATGTCCATGCTGAATACAGTATATAAGACAATAAACACGACTTACAATATAATTTTACATTTATCTTTTCTCTTGTTTTAATAAAGAGACTTGCAAAGAACTTTTTAAAAAACGTTGAATCGTAATTAGGTAAAAAGAGTGAGAAAGGATACACGGTAGATTTTTTTGTTTTTAAATTAACTAAATACTTCTATTATTTAGTTATTGATAATTGACCGAGAAAGCAGAAATATACAGTATATGCTTAGTAAGCACTGAGGAAACTCTAAATGAATTTTTTTAATAATAAAGGCGAAAGCTGACTTTGAAGTCAATTAGTGCTTAACATTAGCAGACAGATGCTCAAATTATTATTATTATGATGATTAAATTACCAAAATGATCATTTGAAATGTTATGCACCTCTCCACAGATATTTTATTCAGTAATGTTTTGTTTTAATACAATTTAATTTGCTTTATTTGTTAAACTATGTGTTTTGATAACTGTATATGTAATACTGAGCACGGAAGTGACCTTTAAAATCTTAAATTTAATTATTAAGTATGTATTTTTGTCGCAAGTTGAATTATTAATCTTGTAATTTTAAAAGGCTTTTAATTTCCGGTAACGATATAGCTGACCTTTTTTGTACTTGTGTTAATTTTCTATTTAAGAGATATGTTTCAATATTCATCTTGTTTTCTTTTTCATTGTGATAGGATCGATAAGATTAGTCTAGATCTAGATTCAAGAATATTCTCTTTTGTGTTACTATTGCATTTCAATAAACAGATTCCACATTAATGTTGTATATTTTGCTTTATTATATCTTTCCACAGCTCTTTATTTAAATTGTTTACTATTCTTTTATTCGTGTTTTTACAGAACTAGAATCTATTGGAATATCGATCACATAATCACCCATAGGAACTATCTTGCACGATTATATAGCTATTGACTATATATCTGTTTCAAGCTCCTTATTCAGTCATAAATTACTTTGAAATTGTATCGCTCACTTTATCAGAACATTATATTATTTTCGCGAGCATGTATACAGTAAAAACTTAAAGTGAAACATTCAAGCTAGAACTTACATATTTTGAAAGAAACATTGTCTAATAGATATCTAGCAATTTTGTTCAAATTAAATCTCTAGGGTCAAAATTGGTCCCAAGCATATGTTTATTTTAAGAACTTTAAGAAACCTTCTCCTTCGTATCTACAAGGACGAAAGCTTAGATATTTCTATTTAAACATAATGAATTGGTAATAATGCAAGAAAAAGTGTGCCTTATTTCAAATAAAGCACAGTAATGCAAGTTTGGCAGTTTCTTGTATTTCCGTAAACTTCATCAAAAATTTGGGTCACTTAGCAATCACAGTAGAGGGTTGTTAAACTGTAGTGGTTTATTGATGTGCGTCTGAACGGTTGGCTGAGAAAATGGTACTTTTTACGATCATTTATATACACAAAAACAAATCCACAGTACAGAAAACGACCATGCCACATGGAAATCTCACGGACATAATAATAGGCTACCGGCTTTGGACTTTAGTGTGTAAGGAAGACCCTCCAATCTCGTATAAATTCGAATCAGACAAGTGATGTTTAAACGGTTGGCTCGAGAAAAATGGTGTTTTTTTTCCGAAAATTTATACACTTTTTAAATTATACAGAAAGAATGCCACGCGACAATCTCACGAACATATTGATCGGATTTGGCCTTAATATGTCTAAGAAAAACCTTCAAAACTTCAAAAATCGAATGTGCAAAAGAATCAGACAAATGGTGTTAAAACGGTTGGCTCGAGAAAATTCTGCCTTTTCGATCATTTATATACACAAAGAGCAAATCGACAGTCCAGAAAACGATGTTATTGGGGAGTTTGAACAGACTATTATTATAAAACAAGTAAATAATAAATATGTACACAATAATGAGATTAATCTATTATTTATATGAATAAATAATATCAGACATAACAAATTCTTTTGTAAATATTTTTCAATGTCAATGCAAGTAACAATTGGAACAATGATAAAGATATGTTTTTCTTACCTTTTTCCTATTCCATTGAACAATAACAATGAAACATACATGTACATAAAAATTAGAATATATACCAATAGTATTATCCTTACAAATAAACAACAATATTCATTAAAGAGAATTTAGATTGTATAACTAACAAAATACGGTATTGATATTTGTTTTAACATATATCAGAAATGGAAATTAAGACTTGATATCGTCTGTTGTAATATGTTTAATAAAGAGAACTAACTATTTACTATCCTAAATTGAGTTATTCTTAATAGCATTGGTATCTTTTTCAATAAACTTACAAAGTTTGATAAGTTCATTTTTATTTTCACTATTAGAAAGCTCCTAAAATTTCACTGTGTTTTGGATTTTTATAAAAATATGACTTGATGAATTGTTTGTTTTTTTTGTTCAGAAAGGGTCAGTAACTTTACTCCAGAAAGAGATAATTCTTGTATCAATATCTGTTTGTATCGGTTTAATTCCTAATTCGCCGGATATCATATGAGATGGAGTAGATATTTTAAGATTAAGATTAAGTTTCATAAATTTAAGTTGTGTTTTTTCAATTATTTCATTGTTTCCAAAGCCCCAAACCTCACAGCCATAGAGTAGTATTGGTTTAATAGTTTTATTAAATATATCTATCTGTAAATCAAATGACAAGTTTAGAGCTCTTATTTTCCTTAAGAGAGAAAAGATTGCTTTATAGGCTTGTTCTACTATTTGCTATTTGGCTTTAATGAAACTTTTTGTTCTTGATAGATAGACACCTAAATATCTATAATATTGATCAGTGGTTTCAACAAGTTCAACTGATTTAAACTTGTTTTGATAAATATTACTCCTTGATCCAAATACAACTACCTTTGTTTTACTGGTGTTTACTGTTAATTTCCATTTATCATAATATTGTTCAAAGAGATTTAATGAGTTTTGTAGGTCATCACTACTTTCGCTTTGTAATATGGTATCATCTGCATATAATATTATAAAAAGTTTAAAATACCGATCAATGTTTTTTGGGGTTTTTTTTATTTTGTGAAGTGACATATAGTGCGACATGCATTAAAAATAATTAACATGTGTTACGAGGTACCGGATAAAATGTGTTAAATGTCACTTCCCAACAACCCATATCTTAACTTCTCAAAAATTGAAAAAAAAATATTTCAAATATATCTATGTGACTTAAAAGTTTCTGTTTGCATCACATTCAAATCGGAATAAGGATAAAATCGGACAAACTGACCACTAAAAATACCTGTTCTGACTTTTTTTACAGAATGATAATTAACCTCGATTTTATGTTATAAAATTTCTTTAGTTTTTATACAAACTATTTCAACAACAATTAAGTTGACTTTTCATTTGCTAATAGATATATTTCCACATCTTCTTTAAAACAAATTATCTCAATGGCAGGTCCATGATCGTAAATTCTTAAACAATTATCTTTTCCATGCCTTTTTATGGCATTCTTCGCCAGAAAGCTAAAAAGGCAGCTTTTCTGTTTTGTTAAAAGGTATTTTATATAATATTTTACCTTTTACCTTAAACTAACTCGGAATTGTCTATGAACTTCTACTATATTTTTATGTAGGGCGATGCTCTTTTTTGCCCCACACAGAATGAGCATGCGCGAGAAAATTGTACCTCCGGTCGATTTTTCATAGCAATGGACCGCGTCGTAAAAAGATCTATTCGAAATTCTTTTAATATTTTATAATAATAGATTTGCAAAAGGTTCCTTTAAATATTATGTTAGTCCACTCAATGTTTCAATTATAACAAAACTAATTATTTAAACGATAATGTCTGCAAAACAAGGTTATAATTTAAGTCTTGTGTATTTGAAATATAAGAATGTGACAAAGCAATTTAAAGAAAATTAAACATTTACAAGATTGATCACATATACCAATATATACCATATACCAAGAAAATCAATTGATTTTATTACAATTACTGGCAATTTATGTATAACACTCACATGTCTAGTTTAGATCTTAGTGACTTTTTAATTGATTGAAGTAATATGTCATCTAAAGTGTTTTGTAGCACCATGGAAGAAAAGACTATGGTCATAAATATCGCTCGTTGGATAAACAGTATTAATAATGTGTCTGGTCCAAGTAGAAATGTCGTAATAAACTAAGATCGTATAGAGTTTTCTAACAAGATTATCTAACAGATATGTATGTCTCTACAAGTAATATTCCTGCTAAACACAGATCAGCTCTAGCTAAATTCAGGTGTGGTGTTGCACCTATACGGGGTGATATGAAAATATGCCTGTTAATGCTAGACTATGTAATAGAAAGAGCATCGAAACAAGGGGCTATCTGATAAGTACGAGGGGGCGTAGCCCCCGAGTATTAATCAGATTGCCGAGTGTTTTGGTGTTCTTTCTCTTTTGTATCATAGTCAAACATAAAATCACGCTCCCTGCTGTCACAATATAAAGCCCCAGAAAAAAGGAACCAATGAACGAGCATCTGAAAATGACTTTTCTATCGCTTTCCCTTTCTCTTTCGTCCCAGCAAATATTAACCAATCAATAGGCATGCTCTCTGGAGTGCGGGTAACTAATACCTGCACTCCAGGTAACACACTGTGCATGTATATGTAATATAATTATGTTATAATGATATTGTTAGAGAAAGTGCCAAAACCTGTTTCTCAATTTTAAATATGAGATCGCATCTTCTATACAGTGATTTTTAGTGTAGACTGTTATTTTTAATTTTACAGGTATATTTGCTTAGTTTTCTACTATGTTACTTTAGTATTTTTTAATCTTTGCTATTTTTAAGCAAATGACCTAATACTATCTGATAATACCAATACACCCCGAAACATTCATGTTATTCATTAACAATATCCTATACATTCGACATGTTGTACCTAGTCACGTCCCTTCTAGTTATTTTCATGATCATGTCATGTAGATCTATATTCCTGCTTTCTATATACTGTACATTCTTGTTCTTACATGGCCACATCCCTAACAAACATGTATTTGGTCACGTCCTATACTTTATGTTCTTGTAATATTCTATACATTATGTTCTTACATTGCCATGTCCTTTAAAAAAATGAACTTGGTCGGGTCGTGTACATCGGTGTTCTTACTTGTAATACCCTGTCCGTTAATGTATTAACATTGCCACGTTCCTTACAAACATGCACTTGATAACGTCCTCTTACTTGTAATATCCTTTACAATCATATTCTTACATGATTATGTCCCTTACAAACATGTACTTGATCATATCATATATGTTCCTACTTGACATATCTTGTAGTTTCAGGTTCCTATTTGGTCACCTCCCTTATAAACATGTACATGTACCTCATTATGTCCTGTATATGCATGTTCTCACATCATACACTAAATTACACCCTATATATCCATGTTCTTACTTAAACTTATCCAGAACATGACTAGGGCATACTATATACAATTATAAATGTCCCATACAGATGGAAATATTATATATGTACTATAATGTGTGATTTTAATACTCCGTTATGTAATTATAATGATTTTACTTGTATTATGATATTACCATATACAAAGTCTCTTATAACTCTGAAAATAGTGACAAAATGCCCTTTTTGTGCCCCCATTTTACGGCAGGGCATTTAGATATACCGGTGTCCGTCCGTCCTTCCGTCCGTCCGTTCTCTTTTGTGTCGCACGTAACTCAAAAAGTATTTGACCTAGAGTCATACAACTTTACAGGCATCTTGACAAGCATGTGCAGTTGTGCACCTGGGTGTTTTCGTGTAGATTTATTTATTATTTTTAGAGTTATTGCCCTTGACTTAGTAAAAATTTGCAATTTTCAACTTGTGTCGCACATAACTCAAAAAGTATTTGACATAGAGTCATACAACTTTACAGGAATGTTGATCAGCATGTGCAGTTGTGCACCTGTGGTTTCGCTTGTGGATTTATTCTGTTTATATAGAGTTATTCTGTTAATATAGAGTTATTGCTATTGACTTGGTAAAAATTTGCAATTTTCAGCTTGTGTCGCATGTAGCTCAAAAAGTATTTAGCCTAGGGTCATGACACTTTACAGGAATGTTTATCAGATCAGCAAGCATGTATAGTTGTGCACCTTGGGTTTCGCTTGTGGATTTATCCAGTATTTGTAGAGTTATTGCCATTGGCTTAGTTAAAACCATTTCATTATGTTGTGTTATTTGTTCTTTGAGTGCTTGAGTTAGAATCAACCAACTTTACAGGAATAATTGCCCTTGACTAACAGTTGTAAAGATTTGCAATTTTCAATTTGTTCATGCATAGCTCAAAAAGTATTTGACTTGTAGGCCTGAAAGTTTACAAAAATGTTGGTCAGCATGTGTACTTATGCACCTTGGGGTTTGCTTGTGGATTTATTCAGTATTTGTTAAGTTCTTGCCCATTACTTAGTAAAAGATTTTTAGTTTTCAATTCGTGGCATATGTAGTCCAAACAATATTTTACCTAGAGTTATAAGATTGACAGATCAGTGGAGTGTGGGGCACCCGTTGCCTATGGTCTCATTTCTAGTTTAATAATGCTTTTTATTTATGATATGTTGTGTCACTGTATCAAATTGATGAAACTATAATAATGAATAAAATAAAACTAATCGGTTACAACCCCTCTTATTTTGTATCAATTAACATAAATTGCATGAGTCGTTAAAATTATGTGACGCCGACTGTCACTTATTCAACATGTCGACCCGCAACTTTTGTTGTCTTTTTTTGTGTTTGACCAAAAGCGAGCGATCCAAGTTCGAGCGAACGAAGTTTAACAGTATCAACCTTGTGCATACATTCTTTAAATGATTTTAACGCGCAAAACAGAAACATGATATTCATCATTAAATAACTATTGGTTTTCTTATTCAATCATACGTCATGTATAACGTCTATAAATAGACCATTTGATTTTGTTTTACCTTTAATTTTCATTGGCAAACAGGCAAGCCGAAGCGCGAATATAATAGTCAAAAACAAGGGAGGAAGTATATTGAACTACATTCTTTAGAAGAATATTGTTATAAGTTTTCTGTGATCAAATGCACCACTGAGATTTCATTTCAATATTTGAATTGAAAACATTTTAAAGATGAACTTTATGCACAATTTCGATACCAGTTGATTCAAATCGATGTAAACGGATTAAAGAAGATATTTTACCGTAAGTAATACATTTTAAAACGTCTGATAGTATCATAATTTTTTCTGTATTAGTTAACTGGTGTAGTGTTCTTATTTGTAGTGCAATTTCACATTTAATCAGACATTATCTTGTTCATGGAATAACCGATGTCATGTTTCGTTTGGTTTTCTTTATTGTGATATTCAAATGCATTTTTTCCGGTCACTTTCGGTTACTAAAGATAGACATAATCAAAGCACACAATTTTAGGAAAAGTGAAAATAAACTGAGTGAAAGAAAAGTTATGTCTATAACTATTTTAGGAAGTATCTAGATGTGTCCAAACGAATGCCAAAATCAAACAGTACATCAAATCCTACATGCGTTAAAAGGCTTTTGGTTCAAATCTCGCGATGGAATTTAATACTGGAAATTTACTTTTTGACTTACAAATATTTAAAAAAAAACACAACCACAAGATTTGTTACAGAAACTTGGTACCAATTTAGTTGTTAATCTAGAGAGATAGGGGTCCCTTCTTTTTCTATATATAGAAGCCACTTTGCTTTTTATGTATCCATTTTTAATGTATACACGCTAGCAGACAATATATAACAAAAGAAAGCCGAACCTAACCTTACAAAACTGTTATAAAGATTATTACGGGGCCTTTATCCCCTTGATCAATACATATGTTAAAAAGAGCACGTTAAGTCGAAGCTGTTTTTATATAGTTCTTTATCTTTTCAATGTATAAAAGGAGCTACAGTTTGTACGAAGAGCATTTTTCATTCTTTCATTTATTTACTAATTCACTCAGATCATGCAAACATGACAACATGGGGTAATAAAACAATCACATGTACAACTTTAGCTAGATCGTTTAGTGATTTGATTAAATGATAGCTAGCCATTCATGTATTTTAAACGGGTTTATGTTAACTAACTTATCTTATGTCCCAGGTTAGATCTGTAATGATATCAATCCGCGAATGCACTCAACCTGGCAAAATATTATTTTTTGTCGGGCAGCCTAAACAAATGATTATTGAAATTATAAGCCATCAAGCGCTAATACATGCATTAAAAATTATTTAACAGGGTCGTCTTTATGCACATTTCTGAAAAAATACTTTGCTTAATACCAGGAATCTCTTAGATAGATAATAATTACATCGACAACGCTTCTGGCGTAAAAAAAAAAATAAAACGAATGGTAGTAACTTTAGCAAATCAGCGATCAAATTATCAAATCATTTACATACAGGCGAACGAAATTAATACATGACCTTTTTAAACAAAGGAAAACATACATTGCAGACCGGCAGCCAAACATATTTTCCAGACAAGGGCTTAATCTATATGTTTCAGGACTTTACACCTCCTGTACATAATAAATGAGGCTTCAGTATCAGACAGTATCAAAATAACATGATATATAAATTGTTAACATAAATATTGCGGGAGAGTCAGTATTACAACGAATACTTCAATATAGTTCTCCACAACATAAAATTTATACAATTTTTGGCTCATTTGAATCTTAATATATTTTCTATAATAAAGAAACAAAGTCTTTTTTTGTTATCTGGAAGGTTAACATCAGTGTTCATAAGAAGATCAATAGAATGTATAGTATGTTTCTTTAAATAGTTAGGATTCGAAAAAACGTTTCCTGCTGTTATCAAAGCACGGACACTCAAAAATATAATGAAATTCATCACCAATGGATCTATTAAGTTCGATGTTATTCAAACTTCCGGTTTCTACTGGCAATTTGTAATTTATTGTTCTATATTTTTTTCATGTATTGTAAAAGAATTGATGGAGTTTTTACAAGATGTGTTTAAAAAAATATGTTTAGATAATCTATAATTTGTGCATTTACTTGAATTCTCAATACCAGAATACCACTCATATAAAAATAAATCTGATAATTTTTGTTTGACTGACATTGTTAACCATTTATGGTTATGAAATTCATGGTAATTCCAAAAGCTGTAAAGTCCACATTCATACAAAATATTCTGAACAAATTTTATCCACTGATCTTAATCTAGATACAGACCGGGAGTTATTCAAATTATTTAACAAAATACGATATATCAAACACGGTAAATTGTTCTGTCATGGTATGATTAAGTCAGACAAATATGATATAATTCTACATTTAATTTCAATAGATAGTGGATTAACAGCAGTTTCACCGTACACCATACAATTTAGTGTACTTGACTTTAAACCTAGAATATATTTAAAAAAAGTTAATATGTACTCTTTTAATACAATCAATATTACCAAAAACCCATATCTTACATCTGTACAGTAGGACAGGTTTACAATTTTGTTAAATAACTCTATTTGCATGTCTACTGGTGATTGTAATTTTTTACGTTTTTTATAAGGCTATACATAGCTTTGGACCCCCTCTTTCACGATCGATAATTTTGCTTTGAAAAAGGAACAACTTCTACTGAATAGAATACCAAGATACTTATACTCGTCTACAATTTCTAAAAGTTCATTTCCTTAAGTAAAATTATATGGCATGCGTCGTCCACTTGTAAAAACCAAAAGTTTAGTTTTTGTTGTATTGAGCGTAAGTTTCCAGTTATCACAATAGTTTTTATAAATATTTAAACCATGTTGTAAGTCATCTTTTGTTTCAGCAAAACTTACAGTGCCATCTGCGTACAACAAAAAGAACAGTTTAACATAGTTAAAAGCACTGTCCTCTAAATCATGACTGTTACATGTTACACTAGAAACAAAGAAGGGTATCTTTTTTTTCCCGAAAAACATCATTATAGGCAAAGCTTAAATGTAAATCGATCACGCTTAAAGGTATTAACACATTCAATATTAATGTGTTATTTATCTTTAGAATAATCTAATAACGATTTCGACGAGTCTTCACCTATCCCAGATTCCAAAACAAAAATTGCGGGTTTGCGTCAGACAAATAACCATTCTTTTAGAGTAAACTCTGAAATTTTTATTTTAAAAACGAATCGATTTTAACAGCCAATCTGAATATTTATTTTAAGATCAATGAAAAGCTAACACGTTACCTTCAAAGATAATTTTAAGTATATACCACTTATAAGTCACAAAGTTATAACCACTTCAATGGCATTGGTCCAAACTATTTCGCATGTAGACCTTTTTACGTTACAACATTTCCATAGTAATAGCAGTTCGCGCATGCGCATTCTGCGTAGGGCAAAAGGGATAACAAAAGAATAGACTATATCAGTTATAAACAACTTCAGTAAACCAGAAAGGTTAACCATTAGTTTAAAATAGTTTATACTGATAAATAACCGTAAAAAGTGTACGAAGGTTTGCTAGTTGCATCTTTTAACGCACTTAACTCCTAAATTAGAGGTCGTGAAATTTATTGGCAATCTTCTCTTTATAGTCTCATACCTAAGGACAATAATAAACACGATTTCAAGTTTAATATTTCACATTGAGAACAGTAACTAATTTTGAAATTACTTAAAATGGAAAATACTTTAAAGTTAATTGATATTTAGCTAATAATTCAATTTTAACAAAGCGCATGTGCACAATTTCTGTGCGTGCGTGCGTGCGTGTGTGTGTGTGTAATCAAGTGAACTGAAAACATAAAGGATCAAGTATTCTGAATTTTTTCAGAATGATAATTAACCTCGATTTCATTTGTTCTATAAATCTTTTGATTTAAAAAAATGATCCATTTCAACAAACAATTAAGATTACCTCTTATCTTGCTAATACATTTAATATCCACATTTTTGCAACATTAATCTAAATATGTCAATTTTGTGATCAAAGCAGGGGGGGGGGGATTCTTAAAAAAATCAACTTTTCCGGCAATCTTGGCCTCAAAGCCATAAAAGTCATCTTTTTGTATTTGTAAAAAGCTTTTTTTATTTTATTTTATACTTTTTACTTTGAATAACTCGGAAATGTTTATGAACTTTCTACTACATTTCAATGTGGGCGATGCTCTTTTGTTCTACACAAAGTGCGCATGCGCGAGACAATACTACACTTGTTTGAGTTTTCATAGTCGTAAAAAGGATTTTAGCCTGTCATACATTATCAAGAACTCTGAATCTTATCCGATGCTTTAAATTCATAAGTCTTTAATTAAGAGTCATTGTTTGTAAAACATATTGCCTCTAACATGCAATTTAAGTTTCATAAACTGTTAATTTACCATGAACTTTTCGACGGAAATTGTCAGATTCATAGTTAACTCATAACTAACTAGTTAATTAAGAGGATAACTAGTTATGTTACTAGTTAACCTCTTAACTATCTAGTTAGTTAAGAGGTTAACTAGTTACGTAACTAGTAAACCTCGTAATTAACTAGTAAGTTAAGTGATTCACTAGTTAATTCAGAGGTAAACTAGTTACGTAACTACGTAACTAATTAACCACTTAGCTAACTAGTTAAGAAAGAGGTTTACTAGCTACGTAACTACGTAACTAGTTAACCACTTAGCTAACTAGTTAAGAAAGAGGTTAACTAGTTACGTTACTACGTAACTAGTTAACCTCTTAATTAACTAGTTAGTAAAGTGATTACCTAGTTACGTAACTAGTTAACCTCTTAATTAACTAGTTAGTTAAGAAGTTAACTAGTTACTTTACTAGTTAACCTCTTAGTTAACTGGTTAGTGAAGAGGTTAACTAGTTGCGTAACAAGTTAACCTCTGTATATAAAGCTGGTAAACTAATAAAAGGATGGCAGTTGTAGGCATTAACATGCATTTATTTCCCGTTATGATCTTTCATTAATTGAAAAAGTTAACTAGTTACGTAACAAGTTAACCACATAACTAACTAGTTAATTAAGAGGTTAACCAGTTACTTAATCTCTTAATTAACTAGTTAGTTATATGGTTAACTCGTGGCAGAAATATGACACCAAACTTAACAAATCGAAGCGTTTATTATAACATTTAAATAATGGTTATCAATTAAATGCAATCAGATAAGGCTACTTATATTACCGAAAGGTATAATTTGTATTAGAAATTAGAA